TAGTAATATATGTTAAACAGAATTATTTTCCAAGGCATTACATGTTTAGTAAAAGGTATTAATCTTCTAAAGTAAATCGTTTAACAGCCGCTGAACGTGTTAAAATTGTTAAAACTTAAAATTGTTCTAAGAAAATGGTAATGAGATATCACATCAAAATATATGTTGATGTTGACGCTCATCGGATATATCAACAAACAAAATTGTCGCATCAAACGCTTTCATAAGACTATTGTATCTGCAAATGTTAAAGGTCCGCTTTTTTGTAAATGATGAAGGTGTGACTCAAATTGTAAATTTTGATTGATACAACCACATGATTATTATTTTTTTTGACTTAGAACTGAAAATGTTAATGTAGAAAACAAGTGTTTACTGTTTTAGTGCTGTTGCAGGAGATATTTCCCAGTTTTGTAATATCACGTTTTTATGATATGAATTGGCTACCTAGACCATATGATTTGTCAGCACTATTGTGTTGGGTTACGCAAAACATTCTCTATATTTAAAAACATTCTCAAATTCTTAACGCTATCAAAAGAAACATCCGTGGAACTATTGCCGTGTCGTCAATTTATCGAAGCTGCCACAAAAGAATCAACTACTCTAAAATGTTTCATTGAGGATATTTGAAAAAAGTTGTATTTTACATTTCATGGCAATGGCCAAACAATATAACATATTGTTGTAATATGATTATCTTCAGTGTAGATATCTAACCACAAAACCATAGGATCAATTCCAAAATTATATTGAAATTTAAAGGAACCTATATGCATTCTTAAAAAATGATATCTTGAGATAGGTTCCTCTCCTCTTTCTTCACCTTTTAATATAGGCTAACGCCTAATTACATATACATGATCTTAAAATAATTAATTAACAAAACATTTTATAAAAATAAAATGGTATAAAAAATAGTGTCATATTTTTCACTCATCTTTTTGGATAACTCCCCTAACGACGCAATCTTGCTGACATCTAATCTCGGACAAATTTGCAATAGCTGGAGATTTACATTTACATCCTATGTGTGTTTCTTATTCCTTAACAATGCAACAATATCGAAAACATCTGTTTTAGTTCAGTTTTACTCCATATTTCTCTGTATCATCAAACAGGGCACTTGTTTTATATAGTCATACCATGCTCATCTTCAAGAGCTTTTAAACTTGACAATATAGGAGAGATTTGTTTTTGTCTAGTTTTTTCCGATATTTCTCTAGTAATCATCAAGCAATGACTGGAGACTTGTTTTATATACTCATTCTATGCTCGTCTTCTAGAGCTTCTAAATTTAACAATATAGGACACATTTGTTTTAGTCTAATTTTTTCCCGCAATTCTCTGTTTGTGGGCATTTCTGTAAAGTAATCATTAAGCAATCACTGGAGACTTGCCTCATATACTTAATCTATACTCGTCATTTAGAACTTCTAAATATAACACCATAGCATATATCTGTTTTAGAGTACTTTTTTCCAATATTTCTATAATTCCACGCATTTCTTTAAAATAAGATACAAATTAAATTTTGCTAAAAATTTTTAAATGGCCTATGTGAATATATAAAATTGATACTATTATTTTCAACTTAATTAAAATATAAAAACAAGTTAATAATTACTTTACATATTTTACATTCTATTATATATAAAATTGTTTTCCTAACTGGTTCTGAAGAACATACCAAAGACTTAGCAACAGACCTGCAACTCTTGCACGTGTTGACTTTATTTAGCGAATTAACTAATTTAATAAATTAATAAGACATCAAATAAATTGAAAAATATTTTCATACAAAATAATTTTAATAATTTAAAAATATTTAATTACATTAATGCACTTCCAAGTGATTAACCTTGTTCGGAGTTGTTCTCCATAAATTGTTGCAAAATCAAAAAGTGGCTGAAGTGACTGAAGTGGCTGAAGTGCTTCTGTAGAAGTCACAAAAACTAATTAACAGAGTAGTAATTACGTTCCAAATGGCAGATAGTAAGTGTCATAATCGATGTAAACTAATGTATGTAACATAATTGTGGGTGCACTGAATATATAATAATAATTATGCAAATTATTTAAAAATGTTGTTTACGGTGTAGAATCACATGAAGTTGCTTTCAGATTTCAGACGTTGTTTTTGCAATAAATTTTGCGCGTGTAAAAAATCTTTGCTTGAAGAGGTGTTCACTTACATATATTACCTAAAATAGCAGCTGTTTAAATGTAAATATACACAATTACTAACAGTTATGTCAAATCATTTCAAACTATATTGCATTCTTGAAACCTAAAATCAATGTTTAAATAGTTACTTCAATTAGCGTCAAAGAATTTTTATTCAATAAACTATTTATTAATATAAGTACGAAAGCCCAGTGCACTCTACTTTAATTATAATAGAAAATAATGTCCTAAATATCTTTCGAAATTAGTATCCCGACCCAGTACGTTACTACAAACATATTGACCAATATGCAAAAATGAAGCTATCGGTTCA